GAAATAGATTAAAAATCGAAAATAAAAAGAAAAGAAACCCTTCAATCTTTCCGGCCGTCAAACATTCACTCCTCCCTCCCTTCCAGAATGCCATCCCGTGGCTTCGACGCTAAAATCCCCCGGCTGCAGTTCCGCGGCGGAGTTCCTAGTGGCCTCTTGCATGTGAGGCTCCAAAGTCTTACAAACGGAGTGGATCATCTGCAGCCCATCGTTCCCGGATTGGACTTGGGATTGGATTGTCCCCTTTCTCTCTCGGCTGCTAGAATGTCTAGTCGCTGCTTAGAAGCGGCCTGCATATGAGGGTATGAGAGAAAGGAAAAGAGCGAGAGTGTTAAAAGTCCGATGTGATAGGTGGCTGGTTTTGATCGATAGCACGTGTGGGAAGTGATTCATTTACGGTGTAGTCAATATTTCCTCTCTTCCTTTCCATGTTCCTTGTTCCCTGTCGTTTGGTCATGGAATAGGAAATTGGAATGGCCCGAGAATGTGACTGATCCAGGAACCAGGAACCCGTCAATGCAGATGTGCGACCAATACTCCAAGGATGGCATTCCAAAAGTACGTCCATACATACGTCTGTCGTTTCCGTCCGAAACTGCAGGAAGCGCAATCAAACACCAGGCGAAATCCAGCCACAGATCACTTTGCTACATGTTCTAAACCTAATTCATCGGGCAAGCAACGCACAAGCTCCCTTTGGTCGATTTTCTCTTTGGCCCCCTGCATCCCCGATCCAACCCAGACAACCATCATCCGATACTTCTGCAAGGTACAACATTATGGATTGCGATCAGATCCCCTCGGTTTGCTTCCTAGCTTTGGTTTCACAAACCATTTGTAGATCTTTCTTTTCTAATTTTTTTTTTCTCTCTTAATTCTTTAAATCTTTTAGTACCCTTGGTGATCGGCTGCAGAACCCGGTAACCAATTAGCAGACTGACAAGCAGACAGGAACACAGACATGAACACAGACATGAACCCTACCGACGTTTACGCGGCACATAGAGGCCATGTGAGAAACCAGGAAGAGCGCCCAGACCGGACCGTCGGGCCTGTTTCAATAGGAACCTTGCAGCTGCGACTAATGCAACGAGCCGAGATGGAGGTGAGTCAGGTAGATTGGATGAAACTTTGACATGATTCATTTTTGTGCCTGCACTGCCTGGATACCCGGACACGCACATCTACAATGTTTGGTACGGTTTGTCCTCTGCGACGATAGCGGATAGACCGACCTCGCCTGGCGTGATGTGATGGTTACCGTAGGAATCGGCCAAGCTGACCTGTCCATCTCCTGGGTCGTCGTTTGCCATTGCCCATTGGACCGATCGATTGGGAATTCCCGTCTCCGGTCCCGGTTTGACAATCAGATCAGGATCCTACCTTACGGAGTACAGTAATTCGAATAATTTCCAACGTTCAAACTTCAAAGAGCGACCCATCTGAATCCCGACTGGCATCGCGTCTTATTAGGCCGTATTAACGGGCGGAATGGCGGAAGCGGAACCCAGACCGTCCCCAGCCAAACATGCTAATTCCCAACGGTTCCTGGTTTGTTCCCGTCGTGCTCCAGTTTCTGCTTTCTAGTCGCGTTCTAGGCGTAATCTATTGGTTTACGTCTGGGAGGATTCCGAATTACTCTGTAAGTACACCCTAGTCTCTGATCGACTATGCTACTAGGCCTGGTAGCTGAGGCTATTTACCTTTCTGCCCTAGGGATCCTCAATAACGGAAGTCACGGTGCCACACCACAGAAAAAAAGAAAAAAGATTTTTTCATGGCACATCCAGTCGTCCGGCTCGTTCATTATCCTCTCTGGCTCTCTCTCGCTTGCTTACTCCATCAGACCCATGGATGGTACGATCCGCGACAGAACCATGGTACAGTTCCGTCCGGATGGAGCTTCTAGAAAGGTTCTGGAAGCTCCGGGTTATGGATACTCATGGGTTTGCTTCTGTGGATGATTGATTGCTGCCCGGGAATGGTCAATAGAATCCAATGGAAGCTGTCAAGGTGATCCTGACGTATAGAGTAAATTTGGATCGGGATTCGTTCATTGTCAATACGCTTTTGGATTGCTGTTATAAGCATCCATAACGGATGCCCATCACAGCGAGAAGGCAGGGAAAGACAGAAAAAGAAAAGAAAAAAAAAAGAGCTATCTAGACCCTTTCCAACAATGAAAGATCGCAAGCAGTACCATTAATCATATCCACCGGATTACATGTCAATTTGCCATCCGTCGGCAATCAACCGATTGCTACGCCGTCTCCTATTGAGAAATCCTGCCGGTCTCGATAGGTTATCCAGGGGTTTCATCTTAACAATCAACATTCTGCGCTTCTGCTTTCGTACATTTATCGCATTATCTATCTGTCTATCTACCTGTCCACCCATCTATCCTGTACTTTCGTAATTCTACCATCGGCATGAAACACGCTTACGCGCCGACCAAGCCGCTCATCAGCCAACCCTAGGGTTTTCAGTCATGAGCGAGACGAGACAAACGCACTCTCAAGCCAACTGAAAATCAAAATCTCATGGCAGAAAAAAAGACCAGAAAAAAACATAGCCATAAAATACAGTATACTACGTAGGTAGTATGTAATAATAATGGATAAAGAGTGTGGCTGGGCAACTAGGACCCTCCTGCCGCGGTATTCCGCCGCCCCATCGGTGGCGAGAATGAAGTGGAGGAGAGTGGAGTAGGAGAGAATTAAATTACCTTCCTTTCAACCATGCTAGACGGCATTTGCCATACTCCTACGGAGAAGACACCACCTGGGTAAGACTGTTTACGGAGTAGATTTTGTCCTCCGAGGAGGCAGTCCTTGTCGACCTGCCCAGTCAGGCATTCCCTCCGCCCGATAAGCGCCCGGTCACGTTCCCTCCTTCTTCATTTCTTCTTCATTTCTTCATCCCCGATCATCAGTCCCTCTAATGCACACTACCGTATAGTCTCGTCGTCTTCGCTCTAGTCTCGTCTCAGACACTCAAACGGTAAATACCAAATGTCAAAGACTCAAAGGGCTCTCTAGTTGCAGCGTGGCGAAACCTACTCCGTATACGGTGTTCCTCGTGGACACGCGAAGCTCCTCTCCGATGACCCTCAGGCTTAAACGGACACTAATTCTTCACTAACACAAACCACTCCGTCATTTAGTCTGCCAGTCTAGAATCTGGAATGTTGTCTTTCGCTAGGCATCTCGGGGGACACGTGGAACGATACACCCTTGTTATTAGCGTCCCCCCGAATAAGACGATGGTGGGCTTGATCCAACACCCCAAATACAGACGCCTTCCCCATCGAACTCAGCATCGCGTTCATTGGACGTACGAAATGCGATATAGCGAGCGCGAAATTAAACAGGATTCACCAAGGATGACCTTCCCCGAACTTCGTACACGGCACACACCATCGGCCATTCCCAGGGCTCGTAGATCCCTGTCCAGACTATATATTTAGGGTTAGACAAAGTCCGGACCCTCGGTACTTTGTTCCGTGTCCGATCCAAGGGGGATCCCTTCTGGACGGTCGGGGAAGGGACGGAAGAACGCAACACTGACAGTACTTCGTACCAGGACTAGAGAAACAGGTCTGGTTGGCCGAGGCTGGAGAAGCAAAACCCCCGGCGAAGCAAACAATCTGTTCCAGAGCCCGGGTATCGCATCTCCCTTGCGGCTATCAGCCTTTGTTTTACTCGTCCAAGCGTCTTGATTGGACACCGGCCTAGCTGATCTCCCTAAATCACTCGGAATTTGTGGTCGGTACCAAGGCGGCGTGCGATGGAATGATCGGATCTGTCATTATTGGATATGTTTGTGATGTGTTGATCCAGCGTCATGGAACACAGAAAAGAAAGAACGAAAAGAGAAGCTAAAAAAGGGGGGGGGTGCCAACCACCGAAGGGCTGGAACTTCGGGAATATCTTGGTCAAGGCTCAATCAAACCTACGAAGTACGACAAAATCAATACCAACCAGGATCTGAGCTGCATTGACGGATGATTATCATGCAGCTGCAGCCATAGAAAGGGGGGAACTAGACTTCTTGCAGCCGCCACCCACCAACCTGCATACTGCTGTCTTCATCGATCAGCCGCACCTGATGCATCAATTACTTACCCAACAACCTGGAAGGTCACAAAGAACCTAGAAGCATGTTGTGATCGACGGAAGGGCTTCCGGACGAATCAACGACCCCGATCTCTCCACCGACAGGAAGGGGAATCGCCATCCGTACGCCTGCACCCACGATCCGTCAATCAATCAAACAATCAACCATCGATCTCCCAAGGGTGAATGGGCCTGGCTTCTGCAGGCTTGACCCTTCCGAGCAATACTGCCGAATGAAGCCGGTGGCGTAGGTCTGTGCATCGCTTCGCCTTTCTGCAAGCCTCCGTGGTGTTCGCGCAAAAAGTACGATGCTTAGACTAGCATGTATTTATGCCAGGGATTTAGGTGACTTCTTCACCGCAAGCACCCCCATGCATCATGTGAAGACCGTGCTGTGCAGCCGAGCGGTTCACAGGAATGGAGCTATTCCCAGATACCCAGTGAGATTCGCCTCCCCGTTGCAAGCCGATGATGAACTCCTTGGGTAGTGGGGAAAACAGTCTCCAACCAATCATATGGACCATTGTCTAATGGCAAGGTGTATACCCCTTCATTCACTCCCGATGGTGTCCCCGTCAACTTGAGCATGTCGAGAGAAAGCATGAGTGGATTGGCAGCTAGGGATTCAAGTTGTCTCGCGTCAATCGATTGAAGCTGAACGAGGCTATCATCAATGCTGGTCAGATGCCAACAAGTTCCCATGCAGTAGTGAATGACAGCGACAGCATTGCCAAGCTTCGAGCATGAAACCATAGATTCTACGCAGGGGGAAAGAGGCAGTATATCGCCATCTGAGAAGGATGAAAAACTGATTAATTGCCAATATATACTTAATGGCTCCGCACAACTAATCCTTGGTGAAGCCAGTTCGCGTTAGGGACATTCTCATGAGCTCGAGGTTGTCCCGAAGTCTGCGAAGCAGTTGTGTGCCATCTCATACTGCAGCAAATCTATCAGCAGGGGCATCAAATGAAGAGGATTCATCCTCGGGCACTTACCTGTTCATCAGTCTGGCAAATAAATACCCGCGGTCCATTGCCGGCACCACTTGATGAAATATCTGTGACGGGTTGACCATCCACCGGGCCTTTCTCATTCGCTGAAGAATCAATCGCAAAGCCAATGCATGCGCACTTTTCCACCAGCGTCTTTCTCAAAAGCGCGCTCTTCTCGCCGATCCCGCCGGCGAAGACTACCGCGTCAACCTGCCCGCCCAATTTCAGGAAGTAGTTCCCCAGGTAGCCCAACATGCGATCGGTGACGATGTCGAACGCAAGTTTATGTTCGGGACTGGGAGGGTTTTCGACCGCGATCTGCGCGAAATCAGTTGTCCCCGTAAGAACCTTCCAACCTGACTTCTTGTTGAGGATTTCCTCGGCCTAACGCGGATAAGTCAGTCCGGCACTCTCTGATGTTTTGCCATGGACAGGGAACAGGACGTACCGTGCTAATATGCATCTCCTTGGTACTTGAGGGACTCAGCTTTCCCGCATCGCTGGTATAGTGAAAGACGAGCCTAGCATTCTGTTAGAAAGGGATGCTCACGTTGATCAGAATATACTCACGATGGATCTATATCACCGCTTCTCGTGGCACCAGGCAATCCGGCCAATGGGGTAAGTCCCATGCTAGACCCCAGATAAGGGAAAAATCAGCATACGCCAGACCCTTTCCATCGAACAGATATATAAAGATGTTTCTCACGTTGTATCCACTGATTTCCCGTCTTTGATCGCACACATCGAAGCCCCGCTTCCAATGTGCATCGCAATGATATTCGTCTGCTCCGTCGGCTTCTTGAGGAATTCGGCCACAGAACGCAGGATATACGAGTAGCTGATCCCATGGAACCCGTACTTGCGCAGCTTATGCGCCTTCGCCACGTCCTGGTTAATCGGGTACGTCTTGACATGATCAGGAAGCGTCTGATGGAACGCCGAGTCGAAGAAAGTGATACTCGTGACGGAGGGAAGCTCGTTGCGACAAGATCGGATAATCTCGAGGGCTGAAAAATTATGTCTAAGCTCCGTCGTCAGTTAGGCTCAATCCATGTCTCCTTTCTTTCTTTCTTCCCACAACCCCCACCCGCATAGTGTTCACACATACAAAGGCGCCAAATCCTCCAACTCCTCCAAATGATGATACGTCTCGTCATCGATCTTCACGGCCGAATTGAACTCCCCGCCATGCACCACTCGATGACAGATATATGCGAGATCGTCACTGCCCGCGACCTCGGAGAGCTCGCGATCCGCGAAGCACCGCTGCAGCAGCAACTTGAATGCATACTGCGGAGTGCTGATGGATAAATCCTTGAGCTCCTCGGTGTGTTTGTTCGAGCCGCGCGAGTACTTCAGCGTTGGCGGTGGGGCCGTGATCCCCGAGATCTGGGCATTGGCGATCACCTGCGGGTGTTTCTCGTATGTGTAGAAGGTGATTTTGACGGAGGACGAGCCGGCGTTCACCGCGAGTATTGATTTTGGTGGCATCTTTTGGGGGGGGGGGGGGGGGATGAGGAGAGTATAGTATACACTGCTATAGGTACAGCAGCGGGAATTAGAAAACCGAGTAACTGGTATTTGGTAAATTAGATTAAATCACGTCGACTAGAAACCAGCTCAGACCATAAAACATGATAGAAAGAAAGAGAAAAATGGACTGATCTGATTGAAAAAGATTCCCTGTTGTTCGCAATCCGGCGTTCCCGGGTCAAGAGCGCAACTTGTGATGTCACTGCAGTGTGACGTAAAAGGCGACAACTTCTCGACTTGGCTTATTTCAATCCACCAACGGCCATCGTAAACCATGGTTTTATTTTAGCTTGAATATATTAAAAGTATCATTTCTTTCTGGGCTTTATTCTGAACTTTGTCAATCAATTGATAACTAGCCCTACAGCCTTACACGTTACAACTGACAAGAGAGACAGAGAAAGAAGAGGAAACTATAAATCCGATCCACTCCTTATCTTATCCACTTCTACCTACCAGATATGCCCGGAGAAGTCATCGATCGGCCTAATCCCAAGGCCAGACCGTCGCATATCCCGGATCTCGTGGAACAATTGCAGGTGCAGTTGCAGCAGACGAGTTTGGATCAGTCGGCGAACGATGCTTTGTTGAAGTTTCGTCGTGCTGCTGCTTATATCGCAGCGGGTGAGATTGTCTTTCTTTTTGAGTTCATTGTGTCGGAGTTCAGGTAACTGACTACTGTATCTATCACTCTAGCAATGATTTTCCTGCAAGATAATGTATACCTGCAGCGGGATTTGAAACATGAGGATATCAAACCGCGATTACTCGGTAAGTGAGACTGGGTGTGGAAGTGGTGGAAGTCCCAGGCGAAACGTAGGTAACCGGTTGCTCACGCCATCTACAGGTCATTGGGGAACGTGTCCCGGTCTGATTCTGGTATATTCCCATCTTAACTATGTCATTAAGAAGCATGACCTGAACATGTTGTTCGTTGTGGGCCCTGGACATGGCGCGCCGGCGCTGCTGTCCTGTCTGTGGCTTGAGGGCTCGCTGGGGAAGTTTTACCCGCAGTACTCGCGCGATGCTGAGGGTTTGAAGAATCTCATTTCTACTTTTAGCACTTCGGCTGGGTTGCCAAGGTTTGTTTCTTCTCGCACTAGCTTCGGGGGATGTGCTGGGCTGTAGCTAACGTGAGACAGTCACATCAATGCCGAGACGCCAGGTGCCATTCACGAAGGAGGCGAGTTGGGATATGCGTTGGCGGTCTCGTTTGGCGCGGTGATGGATAACCCCGACCTGATCGTTACGTGTGTGGTCGGAGATGGAGAGGCGGAGACAGGACCGACAGCCACGTAGGTTTTTTTTTCCCTCTCACGAGTGCGGTGCGCCAAATGTATACCTGTTTGCTAATATCCGGAGAATAGGTCATGGCATGCAATCAAATACATCGACCCTGCAGAGTCAGGGGCCGTCCTCCCCATCCTACACGTCAATGGATTCAAGATCAGCGAGCGAACAATCTTCGGATGTATGGACAACAAGGAACTGGTCACCCTCTTCACCGGGTATGGCTATCAAGTCCGCATTGTTGAGAACCTCGATGACATCGATGCCGACCTTCATTCCTCAGTCGCGTGGGCCGTCGGTGAAATTCACAAGATCCAGCAGGCTGCGCGCTCTGGTAAACCAATCATGAAGCCTAGATGGCCGATGATTGTTCTGCGAACACCAAAGGTATGCCTGTCGGTTCTTTCAGAGCAACGACTTGAGCTAATATCGTCTCGCAGGGCTGGTCGGGACCCAAGGAATTGCACGGGCAGTTCATTGAGGGATCGTTCCATTCACATCAGGTGCCTCTTCCCAATGCCAAAAAGGACAAGGAGGAGCTTCAAGCTCTTCAAAAGTGGCTGTCCTCGTATGGTCCAAAGGATCTATTCACGGAATTTGGAGACATCGTTGAAGACGTTAAATCGATCATCCCCTCAGAAGAATCAAAGAAGCTCGGTCAGCGCCCCGAAGCCTACAAGTCATATAAACCCCTTGACCTTCCGGAATGGAGAGATCTCTGTGTCGAGAAGGGCTCCCAGCAGAGTGCAATGAAGGCAATCGGCGCTCTCATCGACCAGGTTTTCACAAAGAACCCCCACAACATCCGATTATTCTCCCCGGATGAGCTGGAGAGCAACAAGCTAGACGCTGCACTTGAACACTCAGGCAGGAATTTCCAGTGGGATCAGTTCTCCAACGCAAAAGGCGGCCGAGTCATTGAGGTGCTGAGCGAACATCTGTGCCAAGGTTTCCTGCAGGGTTACACCTTGACCGGCCGAGTGGGTATTTTCCCTTCGTACGAGAGCTTCCTGGGAATTGTCCACACGATGATGGTGCAGTATGCCAAGTTCATGAAGATGGTAAGTGACTCCTTTGCCCAACTAGTCGATGCATCGTATGACATCTAACCATCCATCAACTCCACCAGGCTCGGGAAACGAAATGGCACGAAGGGGTAGCTAGCATCAATTACATCGAGACTAGCACATGGGCTCGGCAGGAACACAATGGCTTCTCTCACCAGAACCCGTCGTTCATCGGCGCAGTGCTCAAATTGAAACCGACCGCAGCCCGGGTATACCTCCCACCCGACGCCAACACCTTCTTGACAACGCTGCATCATTGCTTGAAGTCAAAGAACTACATCAACCTGATGGTGGGTGCGAAGCAGCCGACGCCTGTGTATTTGTCACCCGAAGAAGCAGAGAACCACTGCCGAGCCGGTGCTTCGATCTGGAAGTTCTGCAGCACAGACGACGGCCTTGATCCGGACGTGGTCCTGGTCGGAATCGGCGTCGAAGTGATGTTCGAAGTCATCTACGCCGCTGCCATTCTGCGCAAACGCTGTCCGGCGCTTCGAGTTCGCGTGGTCAACGTGACGGACCTCATGATCCTAGAAACGCAGGGCTCTCACCCTCATGCGCTGTCGACGGATTCCTTCGATAACCTGTTCACACCCGACAAGCCCATCCATTTCAACTACCACGGATATCCTAATGAATTGCAGGGACTGCTGTTCGGACGGCCACGCCTGGAGCGCGTCAGCATCAAGGGGTACATGGAGGAGGGAAGCACAACGACCCCCTTCGACATGATGCTGCTGAACCAGGTGTCCCGGTACCACGTTGCGCAGACGGCCATCAAGGCGGGGGCCAAGCGAAATGAAAAGGTTTCGATTCAGGAGCAGGAGCTGACGTCGGAGCTGGCGCAAAACATCGGGAGGACACGCCAGTATATTTTGGAGAATCTGCAAGGTGAGTACCAGCACAATCGCTCAATCGCGTCGGATCATTGCTAACGATACATCAGACCCCGTGGGCGTATATGATATGCCGGAGTTCAAGTAAGGTGATAGTTTCACGATTGTCATGAATCGTTAATTAATATGAATCATTTGTATATGTCGATCGTATCCATAGCCACAGTCGTAGCCATAATCGACAGGTCCAACGGGGAGATCCAATGTTTCAGAGTTCTGCGACTCAAACTTGGGACTTGGGTGCTTTCTGCCTTAGGCCGAAATGGTGCCCTATCGGGACTAGCGGCAGCTGACGTGATGCGGCCTGAAACGGACAAGGCTGTCACGGTCCCTTTTCTTCTTTTCCCTGTCTGGAGTCTGGAGTCTGGACTTTCAAACTCTCGACTCTCAGACATCGCCCGCGTCAGTCGCGACACAAGAATATGCATCCACCCGACGGTTAAAGGGTCTTAATAACTTAATGCCCATCGAGAGCTTCCTGAGGCCGATTGGCTCGTTCGCTTATGACATCATTGCTGTCACCTAATAATATCTCCGACGGGCGGTTGTCGGCCGGCCGACACGAATCTGGCCGTTGATATCAATACTTCCGCTGAACGGGACCACCGTGGCTGTTCTAGCTGGCCAGAATACGAAAAGAATAATGGGGCTAAGGGGGACCTCTCACTCCACCCCAGCTCGCCAGGCACTCGGACGTCGGATGTTGGCAATCCTCGCAAAGGCTGAAGCGAACATGGGATCCGCCTGGCCTGCTGTTTCTCGGACTTCGGGGCTCGCGGACGATCTAAACCCAAACGGGCGGACCTTGCGAGCAGTCAGGACCGTGGGGAACCCATTTTTGGGGCCTGGCAAACCCTCTGCCGAATGACCTTGTCTCTGACGACGGCCCGAATGGTAATTTGTTCGTGGCGACGCAATCAGAATGCGCCGTTTCGCGGGAGGCCCCCGCTGTACCGTTGGATCGATTGGGAATCCCAAAAAGCAAACGCGAGAGACGAGTCAAAAATTTTGTGTCTATCCGAACCCCGACAGGGGATTCTGTTCGGGCAACCGGTGTTCCAAGGCGTGTGCTTGGTTCAGGGTTAGGTTTGATTTTGGAGGATTTGGATTTTAGTTCCTTGTCGTCTCGTCCGAATCTGCAAACTTCTCTACTTTCTTTTTCTCTTCGTATGATTATGCGCGGTTGATGTCAAAGCTAAATTCATAGCTGGGCCACTCCTTGATCTTTGCTGGAAGTTGCGGCTACAATCTTAATACTTTGTTCGCCGCCTTGTGGAGAAGTCACTTTCTAGTTTCTACGGACTACATTATATTAGAGTCTCCCAGGTCCGACTCGCTCCCGCGTTCTGATTGTTCCCAGCCTACTGCTGCCGGACGCCCTGTTCGACTATACCTATACTATCAAGACTAAGGATTTGGTGCTCATCGACCGCAGACTCACACCATGCCGAGCGGATTATCTCAGGAACAGCTAATGGAGCTGAGAACTGGCTGCCATGCCAAATTTGCAGGACTGGGTACATCTTACGGCTATGTACCATCGCTGGCAGCAGGCATTGTATTTCTAGTACTGTTCGGTCTCTCGATGCTCGCCCACACCGTTCAATTTATCTGGAAGAGGAACTGGTGGTGCGTTGTGTTCAGTATTGGGTGTTTGAGTATGTAATCCTTTGCGGTCATCAACTTAGACAGCAGAAATTGACTTACTCGTGCAGCGGAGATTATCGGCTGGGCCGGACGTACGTGGTCTGCAGAATGTCCCTATAACGCGAATGCTTTCCTGATGCAGATCTCAACATTGATCATCGGTAAGATAAAAGACAACCCCAGATCACCATCCCACCGATCAACATGTTAACCATACCCTCCTCTATAGCCCCGACTTTCTTTACCGCCGGTATCTACGTCCTCCTTGGCCGCTTCATCCAAATATTAGGTCGCGAATCCTCCATCCTCAGCCCCAACCTCTACCTCTGGATCTTCTGCACCTGCGATGTCGTCTCCCTCGTCATCCAAGCCATCGGCGGTGGTATCGCCTCCTCCGAGTCCGACAAAATCGGCGGCAACACCGCTCCCGGCACGCACATCATGGTTGCCGGCATCGTCTTCCAAATGTTCTCCATCACCGTCTTCGTCGTCTGCGCCGCCGACTTCGTCCGCCGCTGCATCAAGTATAAATTGCTCCGCCATACCACCGGTACCATCTACCCCCTGTTCGGAGCCATGGTGTTCTCCGTCATCTGCATCTACATTCGGAGTATCTACCGAACCATCGAGCTGTCCGAGGGCTGGAGCGGATACCTGATCACTACGGAACGGTACTTCATTGCGCTGGACGGTGCCATGATGGTTCTTGCCGTGACTGTTTTCAACATCTTCCATCCCGGCTGGTTGATGCCGCACAACAAGTCGATGGAGTTTTCGAGCGAGTTGACGTCCCACGATGGGTATGATGTGGAACTTCGCTAATTCTTATTTCTCGGCCTTCTTTAATACTTTTCTTTTCTTTTCTCTTACATATTTCATGTCCATAGATACCGATTTTGTTTATTTTGGTCTTTATTCACTTTCTTTTTTTTTTCACATCTGGCCTAGACTACGGTTCGATATTTTGGCTTCGAGCTTTACAGGTGGACAGATGTATAGCAAGCGTGTTACAGGGCTTCACTATGGATTAAATTTGTGATAGTCATGGGTCATGTTGGTGTTCAGGATAGAATAGATTTCAAATAACCATCCTTCCTTTCTTCCTCTGCCAAATAACATTTTGCACAGATGATAGAAAACATAAAATGTTCGCTCCATAAGGCGTAGACTCGTAACGCTAGAAAATAGGGGAGAGAGAACCCCCCCCCGGGAGAGAAAGAAAGAGTAATTGAAAACAGATAACAAGAGAGAAGGTGTCCGAAAGTAAATAAGTAAATCGACATGATCGATTTATCCGTATTTTCCCATATTTCGTAACTCGTTTAACAGCACAAATACCCTTTTTGTTTTTGTTTCCTTGCACGCGCGCCTTGCTGAATTAACACAAGCAGATGGTCAAGTCAAGTCCAATAAGTACGTAAGTAAGTATTTCGTGAATCATTAGACATGGTGGTGTTAGTGGTGGTCGTAGTCATGGTGGCTATACGCCATCGATGGCCTCGATCCAGGCAAAGAGCCCAGCCACGATGAAAGTCGCAACAGCCCAGACGGAACCCCACGCGGACGCGCCTTCAATGTCAACTCCGTCAATGGTGCCCGCTACCTGCACGATGGTGTTGACCACCAACATACTGGCGAGTACGAAAGTGCGGGAAACCAGGACCCGCGTTTTGGCGGACAAGGAGGCCCATGTTTTGCGGTAGATCGTAGAAATGAGATATTCGCCCTGGCGGTCGGTGGAGGAAGAAGAGGGAGATTTCTTGGTAGAGTCCGATTTCGATGCCAGTGCGCCGGCGGAGCTCGCGAATAGAAAGTCTCGCGCGGCCCAGCCGGCGGGGAGAAGAGAGACGAAGAGAACGGGGAGACCGGCGGGGCCAGCGTGTACGGCGCTGATGTCGGGGATGTTGATGAAGTGGAGGACGAGCTGGGCTGGGAGCCAGGTGGCGTAGCTGATGTACAGGGTGACGGTGAAAATGGCCGTCGCCGCGACGGTGGTATAGATCGTGGTCGCGCGGTCTTGGAGGATCAACCGGTTGGAGACGGCATCCCACGGGGCGCCGGACAGGTTATGCACGGATGAGGGTTTGCGGAGAAAAATGAATGTGATTGAGGTCGAGAAGAGGATAATGGCGTACGAGGCGAGAACGGTGGTGGGTCGGATGTTGTAGAAAGATACAAGTAGAGCATAGGTGGGCAGGTGGGTGAGGAAGATGAACGAGGACACGTCTCGGCCTGTTTTTGCCATGATCAGTAATTGCAAAATGTTAAGGCATTGAAAGTAATTGGATATAACTCACCGTCAAATCCTAGAGTCCAGGCCAATCCGACCTCGACGGCCTTCCATACTATCAATCCCCCAACTTCCCACCATTCCTCGAGGTGTTTGCTCACACCACCGAGTTCGCCTAAGGTGATGCTCGAGGAAAGGGTGAACAAGGTAGAGCTGAGGATCAAACTACTGCCCACAACGAGAATGAATCGGGCTGGAGATGAAATGTGCTCCAAACGAGTCTTCTGGCGCAGGTGGCTGGCGGATCGGTCCACCGCGTCGGTAGCAGACTCGGTCTTGTCGGTGACAGTCGAAAGGACGTCTTTTTTACGCGGAGCCATCATTAAGAAGGATTTCTCGCGAAATTCAAGATGCAACTATCAGAACAATTGAAAGATTTTGCAGGTGAGAAGAAAAGAAACCAGGAGCGAAGCCAACGCGATCATAAAAAAGAAGGCGGGAAACCGTTTGCAGGCGGTGAGCACGCGATGATGTCATCGCAATTTAATGCCGGAAGAAGCTGGACACGAGACCAGCTGACCGACGATGACTTCATGCGGTTGTAAAAGCTGAAATGTACAGTACATTTCTATCAACACAAGGTACCAATACCAAATATATGTCCCACATTACTATACACAAAGCTCACAGTCAGTACACATTACAATCTGGATATCTTTCAATCGTCCTCCTTGTCTTCCGGGCGCTCCACAACTGAAAACTCGGCTGAGCCGTTGTCACGTCCCTTGTAATCCCGCAAGAGGAGTTGATATTTGCCTTGATCCCAGAGATCTTTAATGGTCAGCTCTCGTGTACGACCCAGACTCTCAATATCTCCGATCCGGTCCAAAGTGCCCTCGAGGTGCTTCTCAAAGTTAGGTTCGCCACAGATCTGGCGGAATGCCCTCTGCATGGGGACCGAATCAGCTCGGACCATGGCCCGTGAGTCAATGGTAAATATGTTCTCATGGTCATAGCTTTGGATGAAATCGGCTCTGGTCATTATCTGTCGTGCTTCATGGAGCGGAATCTCGGGCAGAATATGCCCGATGTGAGGGTCGTATTTCTTCTCCATCAGCTCCTCCTTGTCAACAAGTGCCTTGGCAAGAACCATAGCGGCAGACTGTCGTGACGTTAGCATCCTCCAAGCCACCCATCCATAACACACATCGCGGTAGGTGTACATACCGAGAACTTCTGCTCGTCCATAACGTCGTCGTCCATTTCAGGTCCAAGGATCCAGCATTTGTTGAGGAACCAGCTCTTCTCAGCGTCGCAGATAGAGTTGCAAAGCTTCATGATATCCTTGGCTTTTGCAACTCGATTGAGATATGATAGTCGTCCGCCAACTTTGTCGTATACTTCTTCGAGAACTTCGTCAGATAGTTCTTCACGGAAGTAGCGCTTGCGGTATCCCTTCAGAGCGCTCATTGCCCGTTGTTTGGGCAAGTCGGAAACCGGAATGACCTCCATTCTGGCAGCATATCGTTTCAATCGCTCATAGACCCAGTAATCATCGCTGTTTAGCACTTTCATGGTTGAAAAGAACACGTTAGTAGCAAGATATCACAGAGAGGGGATCTACTCACCCGTGGTCACTAGGTTACTGGCCGCCCACTGTTCAGCACGCTGCTGGATCATCTCGAGAAGATCCTGGCCGTCATTATCATCCTTAACCAAGTGCGTGCTGTTGATAATCATGACCAATGGCGGCAAGCCTTGGCGCCTTCTCTTTAGGGCGACTTTCTCCAGTTTGTTGAAGGCACGCTCGATATCCAAGAGAGCGGTGGTATCTCGAGGGCCCTTGATACTGAAAAGACTCCCGATGTAGCTAGAAAAAAATGTCAACACGAACGCGAAACATGAACGGGGAATTTCAAAGGGGAAAATGTGAGGGTGAAGAAAAAAGGGCTCACTCTTCATGAAACTCAAAGTCCAACGCTTTCCCCAATCTAATGCGGAAGATTTCCAAATCGCCATGGGCCTCGAACATGGAACAGCCATCACCATTGATTTTGCGCATCGCTTCGAGGAGCATGGACGTTTTCCCGGTTCCTTTCTCGCCGATGATGAGGAAATAGCGACCGCCGGCCTTGCCCTCGATGATGGCGTCGATCCTGGGCTGCTCGTCGCGAACTACCCAGTGTTCTTCCGAGTGGTACTGATGCTTTCCAGCTTCCACACCGGCGACCTCGAGGGCCGGGTCACCCGGCTGGAAGGCATTTTCCATCTTCTGTAATATGACATACTTGTAATACTGGTGGTAAGAGTACCCAGCCAAGCTAGACGGCGGCTCGTTAGCAAGCGTGAGGGACATGCTCTGGATTCAGCCCGGGACGACATACCCTAAAACCGCGATGGAGGCGAATGTTGTCGCCGCAGTCTCCAGCATCCTCAGGATGGTAGATCTGAAGGTGGGATCGGAGTCATTGGATCGACCCCGATCGTCGTCTCTCGCGTTCGCATTTTGATCGAGAGGATCGGGATTGGGGTTATACAGAATGGGGCCCTGGGAGAATTGCCGATCCGAATGATAGGGAACTACCGGATCAAGCGGTCTCCGTGGTCTCGACAGGCGAATTTGAGGCCGCGAGATCAAAGGAAGAGATCGCTGGACATTTCGATGCAACAGCATCTTCCAAACACAGACTTCAACTCAATGCTAGCAGTAGTGAAGAGGAAAAAGAAACGACAGAAAAAAAGAAAAAAGCAAAGAGACGAAGGGAGCCAAGCTTTTACAGTTCGAACGAATGCGCTGGACTGGCAGTAGTCTGTTATTTGGGTAGGAAGTGTGGCGCAGTCATAGATCAGGGGAAACTGAGGCACAAATTATCGACCATAAAAACACCCACGGGTCATTGGGAAGTTGAAAAGAGTGTTGAGGGAAGAGCGATTGACGGCGAACTCAAAGCAAGGAGACAAAGGGACGCGAGAAAAAAGAAAAAGAAGGTGAGATGAAGTTGAGTTTTGGACCCGATCTGGCGGTTTGGAAATCTCCGCTGCTGCGCCTCACCGGCAGATCGAGGAGGCTTGGCGTTTGCTTGCTCTCACTGGGGAGTATATTATGTTATGCAGTCACAGTGTGATGGATTTTGTTGATTCTTCTGTTTTTCTTCCTTAATTTTTGACCATTACTGATTGATCTTTTTTTTTTTTTTTTTTTTCTGGTCTATTAGAGTGGGTGGATAGAACATAGTTTACGGGTCGAATATATATCTGATGAATGACCTGTCTAAACCAACGAACTGGAAGTGAAATATGACCAGATTGATTTCGTGGAGTGTGGCTAGCTGTCGCAACACTCTACATAGATGAACTCAGGTTAGGTCAACCAGACAACCACAGTCAACGCTGGTGCACATCGATGTACAGGTACCTCTCGAGTGCAACGGAAATGGTGGTGACCCAGGTACCAGTGACCCGTACCGCATCCGTAGCTTCCCGCCCAAACCCTAAAGATTCCCACGGTCGAGAAACTTCAAGATGTGCAAAAAAGACTGAGAAAAAGGTCCAAAACGATTGGGATCAGGAGGGTAGATATTAGAACTCAAATCTAGTAAATCACCAAGGGAAATAACTTCATAAAATCCTGCCCCGGGACCCCATGGGTTTCCCGCCGAGCCAATTCCCGGGGAGAATTCCTCGTAGTCATAGAAATGCCGGCCAGTTGTGGATTTCCCACCGCCCGAGCGATTCCGAGGGTATTCCGCAACCCGCGAAATTTTCTCTGCCCGGTTTCCCCGTGTGCTTTCTCCAGCTTCAATCTCTCTCCCATCTCTCTTCCCTTGTTTTCCATTTGTCTGCTTTGGCCTGGGTACGGGGTTGTTTTTTTTATATATTCAATTGCCCTCGTCCCTGTATCATATCTTCTACTTCACCTTTTTTTTTATTCTCCCATTTGTTGTGATTTCCTGCCTTTTTTACTTTCCGCGGCATTCGAGATTTTAGACGAATTGTCAATTGGGACGGTTCCAACGCTTCATTTCATTTCTCCCCAAAAATATCCTCCCCCCTTCAATTGCACATTATGGCACAGACCAATGGTGACGTGGAGCACTCGAAAGGTCTGTTTGCCCTCCCCGGTCATGTTGCGGAGGACTCGTTCGGCTAACAGCCATAGCAGAGTCGCCCGAACAACTCACCAACGGAAACCACCCCGAGGATCAGGAAGAGGAGAACAATGGTGGTATGTATTAATGCATATCCTGCAATTCATCGACGAGTCATCAGATTGATAACTAACGCCGTCATTCATTGAACAGGTCTCTTCCAGATCTCCGTCAAGCTTCCTCACGAGCCCTACAAGATCCAGGTGATGGTGGGTATTCAGGTCTACGAAACTCTCAATCAGCAACGGTTGGCCTAACGATTCTGTTTAAAACTTCAGGTGTCGAGCCAAGAGCAAGTCCAGGACGTCCGCCAGTCGATCGTCGAGCTGCCCAGCACTTTCCAATACACCTGTTTCCATCTGGAGTTCAATGGTAGCCGCATCAACGACTTTGTCGAGCTGTCTGAGGTGCCCGACCTCAAGGCCGACTCGGAGATTGTTCTCGTGGAGGACCCCTACACCGAGAAGGAGGCCCGCATGCACGTCGTGCGTATGAGGGAGTTGGTCGGCGCCGCCGGTGACCGAGTCGACAACCTCCACGGTATCGACGCTGGCTTGTCGCTACACGATGCGATCGCCGAGGAGGCTCTTGCGAAGGAGAGCTCGGATAAGGACCACTCGCTGTCGAACTACGATATTGCCGGTTCCTCGCCCCTGAAGACCATCCTTCCCAAGGCCGAAGCTCCCCTCCCGAAGACCGTCAAGGCCATCTCGCTATCGCCATGGAACCCTGCTCCTTATCACCTTCGCCAGAAGGGTCACCTGTTGTACCTCCAGGTCACCACAAACGAGGGTGAGCAGTTCCAGATCACGTCTCATGTGTCTGGGTTCTACGTGAACAAGTGCTCGAATGTCAAGTTCGATCCCTTCCCCAAGACGATCGCCAAGAAGGGTAGCGCCCATTCTCTCCTGACTCTGATCTCTCTCCTCTCGCCCTCCTTCAACTCCGCCTTTGAAGCCCTGCAGGAGTCTAACAACCAGAAGGACCTCCTGACCACCTTCCCCTTCCAAAACGCCATCCCCAACAGCCCGTGGTTGGTCCCCCCTCCCTCGTCTAATGTCAATGCCCACCAGCCGGATATCACGCGATCCCAGGAGAGCTACCTGATCTCTGGTGTGGATAACGCCGAGACTCTGAGGGACTGGAACGAGGAGTTCCAGACCACCCGTGAGCTTCCCCGTGAGACCGTTCAAGACCGCGTTTTCCGCGAACGCTTGACGTCCAAGTTGTTTGCC